CTCCCCAAATTCTGAGCCGTGTACTTTCCCTTCTCCATCAATGGGATCTTGGAGTCACAAGGAACACATTTTGGAGAAATGCTGACACACGGGCTCTGACAGGGCTTCCTCAGCCTCGAAGCTGCATCATAGAAAAACTGCCTGTGCCACTGAATTTTTTTTTTTTTTGAAAAGGAATTTTTCTGGACTCCTTCCCGGAATCTATAGCAGAAGGGCACTGAGACTCTAAGCTTCCAAAGGCTCTGCAGGAGATCAACCATTGCATTATGGGAACAGCCTTTGGATTTGGGAGAGCCCAAGTCCAGTGCAGCTGTCAGACTCAGCCAGTTCAGTATAATTATTTTTGGAAGGTGACTAATTATCTCAGTTTCTCACCCAGAAAACAAACAGGGAATGACACTTACTCATTGGTATATTTTTGGTCCCAAATGATTAAATGACATAATCAGGGGAAACAATTTACACATAGGTATTGCTTCCCATTTGTTTTATATACCCTTGGGATCGTCAATAGAAAACTGAATAGTAATGTTATTTGCTTTTGCTAATCTTTGAGGTTCAGAGGCCAATTTTTGCCTTTTTCCAACTAGAATAACTGTGGATTCATTCAACTCCCTGTGAGAGGCCTGTGGCACTCCGACCTTTACTGTACAGAGAGCACAGCACTGAAATCATTTTAGGATGAGCAGAGAGGCTCTGAGGATCCTTGGCCATCACTCCTTGCCTTCATTCATGGTACATAGAACCTCCACTTTGCAAGAGATCATATAAACCACGTCCCTAACTGAAATCTATATCAAGGTTATAGACAAAACAGTATCTTCGTGAGTTTGTGTTATATGAAACTCAAAAGTCCAACAAGGCCAGCAGCAATTGCCAAGCTCTTCTGAGGAGGAGAAATTATTCAAAGTACAGATTTCAAAGGTGTATCTATTTCTACGAGAGCAGATGTAGTGCGGTTTTTATTGGCATCGTAACATTTGGGGTCTTTATGCTCCTTTCTTGCTTAGTAATCCCTTAGGCTAGGAAGTTTTAACCCTACTCTGTGAACGTGAGGATGTGTGTTTGCACATGTGTTTTGCATGTCTGTGCCTAAGTACAACCACCATTTAGGGAAAGAAATGTATTTGTTCATTTAACCCTGGCCCAGGGAAATGCTTTGTGGGTGAGTGAAATGGCACAGACTATGCCAGTCCTATAAATGGATGTAATTTTGAAGTTCATTTGTAAGTCAGTAGCTTGGATCATGGAATACGTTTTCTCATGGAAAAGAAATGTAAAAAGAGTCCTGGTCCAGCACACAAGAAACTGTTTAACCCCTACAGTACCTGGAGCAAAACAATTATTTTCATTATTTAGAGAAAACAATGTTTCCATGGGAACTATTTTCAGAGTTATCCTGACTATAAAAATTTAACTAGTCTCCTAAATCACACTGCCCTTTTCCCTTTAATAAATTACCAAGGAGAGAAGCTATTAATACCACAAATTATTTCCTGAATGTTAAGTTAAAATAATATTTCTTTCTCTGCTGTCATATGTAATTTGAAACATTAGTAAAAGGGATCCATGAAACAAAGACAAGTCTTTTGGAGCATCATGGAGCTGGACCAGTTCTGGCTTTTGTCATTCTGCTTCTTGGCCACTCTCTTGCTTGCCAGAGCCAGGTAAGCTGGCTCCAGGGAAGCAATGGGTACCGTCCTCATCTTTATTTTTTATATCAGGCTTGTTTTTCTTTCCAAGTCTTTACCTTTGCTTTAGTTTTTTTTTAAACACTCATCTTATAATTTAATATGAATCTTAAGTAAGTGATAAAATATAGTCTAGGACACACTGACCACAGGAATCAGAACCATAATACATGGAATATTCTAGAAGTTGTATAAATATATTGCAGAATCACAGTGCTGGAAAGAACCTAAAGATTGTCTCGCATATTCCCTGGCTTCCTGACAAGCCAACCATTCCAGACAGATGAGAGCTTCCCTTTCAGAGGGGAAGGGTGACACCATTGTCTTTAATCTCTTCTAGACCTAACCACCTATTGGCTGCCAGTGTATTTTTGCTATCTTTTTATTTGAGTTATTTCATTCACAGTTACAGCTGTATTTTCATTCCTGATATTTAAAACAGAGAACAAAGTAAGCTTATCTATTCAAAACCTCCACAGTGCATTCCACATTAGAATTTTGTGTTCTTTCCCCTGGGATGTCCTGAACATTCTGGTGTCTGATCCTACAGTCCCTGTTCTGGGTTTTCTTGGCTCTCTGCACGCCTTCACCAGTGAGCACCTGGATCTAGAAACTGAGTCTGATAAGACAAATGGGAATTCTGCGTGGCGTGCACACATAGGAACATTTAAGTATAATCTGGTAAGCAGGCCCTAAGACTTGGACACAGAGGAAGGTAAAATTTAATAACCATAATAAAATTATAAGAACATAGGCTATTTATTTATAGTCATTTTCTTCTGGGTAGTAAAAAGACCTTAATCAGTCAAAGTAAGGGAATCAAAGGAATTCCAACACTATTAAACAATTTATGCATAAAACATGGAACACCCCATCTCTTTCTCCTCTCTCTCTCCTCTCTTTCCAGACAGGGTGTCACTGGGTAACTCTGTCTGGCCTGTAGCTCATTACATGGACCAGGATGGCCTTCAGTCCATTGAGATGGCTGACCCAAGCCTCCTTAATGTTGGGATTTGAGGTTTCGTGCCACCAAACCCAGCTTCATAGCTTTAAATGCCGCACACACTTTTCTTTTCACTCTGTGTTTAGCATGAACATATGCATGGGTGTTCATATTGTGTGTCCATGTGTATGAACATGCTTATGGAGGCTAAGGGGTTCAATTTTAGTCTTTCTCAGTCACTTACCACCTTATTATTTAAAAAAAATTGTTTGTACATGTATGCACATTTGTGTATGTGAACAGTGGTGTGTGCGTGTGCGCGTGCGCGTGCGCGTGCGCGTGCGTGTGCGTGTGTGTGTGTGTGTGTGTGTGTGTGTGTGTGCATGAGCATGCCATGACACATGTGGAGGTCAGAGGACAACCTCAAGAGTTAGTTTTCACCTGATACCTTATGTTGAGATAGGGTCTCTGCTATCCTCCTTCCTTCCAAGCCAAGCCAGCTGACCCTCCAGCTGTGAATAATTCTCTCATCTCTGCTTCCCATTTTGTCACAGCAGTGCTGTAACGCTTGCTGACCTTTCCAGAGGTTCCAGGGCTCAAACTCGGGTCCTCACACAGAAACAAGTTCTCTTGCCCATTGAGCCATCTCCCCACCCCCACCTCATTTCTTGAGACTTCACTAAACCTAGAGTTCTCTAGATTGTCAGCCCTGGATGCCCAGTGAGCTCTAGGGATCCACCTGTCTCAGCATGCACAGTGAAGGTGGCACAGATCTTTCGTGTGTACTCAGCTTTTTGGGTTTGTGCTGGGGAATTTGAACTCAGGTCTTCATGTTCGGGGACCCACACTTTACACGCTGAGACACTGGCCCAACCTAAACATTTTCTTTTTCTACAGAGAATTTACGACAGGCCCTTAAAATAACCCCTTGAGTTATTTTAAATCAGGAATGACACCCCTCTGTCTACAAGGTTTTGTGTGCCTCCAAGGGGAAGGAGATGCCTGAAGAATGGATGCATGCTGAGATTTCAATATTATGATCTCAACTTGGTGATAAGTACCACTCCTGGGGTAACCTAAGTTTCTAAAGTGACAGAAGCAATTTTGGTTTTTGATGCCAGGTTGTGGCTTGAATGTGTAGTGTTCCCCCTAGTCTCATGTGTTTGAACATTTGGTCCCCAGCTGATGGTGCTGTTTGGGAAGCTGTGGAACCTTTAGGAGGTGGAGTGTCCTGGAGTAAACATGTCACTGGGCGTGGGCTTTGAAGTTTCATAGCCTGGTTTTACTGTCTGTTTCCAGACTGCCACTCTCATGCCTCTGCCATTGTGCCTTCTCTGCAATGATGTGACTATCCTCTCTGCAATTATAAACCAAAGTAAGTGTAAGCTAACAATACACCCCTCTTCCTTTTATTTATTATGTATACAGTGTTCTGCCTGCATGTATGCCTGCTGGCCAGAAGAAGGCACCAGATCTCATTACAGAAGGTTGTGAGCAACCATGTGGTTGTTGGGAATTGAACTCAGGACCTCTGGAAGAGCAAACAGTGCTTTTAACCACTGAACCATCTCTCCAGCTACCTTTTCTCCCTTTTAAGTTGCTTTGGTTGGGATATTTTATCAGGAGAGAAACTAATAACCAGGTTAACAACAAACTTTATCTAGCAAAACAACCATTGAGAATATATCACCCACGTCTCCTACACCAGCAGCTCCATGGATATAGTTGTCCTTATATCTCCAGGGGTTTACAAAAGAGGACAAGCCTTCGGAGCTTTCCAGCAGACAACAGTACTGCCATCCTATCACACACATGTCCATCTCTGTGTGTAGCTATTCTGGGGGTAAAAAGGCTCTGCAAAAGTAGGGGATTCTTTTGCTTCTACTTAATATAACAAATGTTGCTTTGGGAAGCTAGAAGCCTCTGAGCTTATTACAAGGAGACCCTTATACTGCATCAGCCAACCAGATTTCCTCACAAAGAAGGTTTGCTCTTTACTATGAAGACTTAGCTACAGATGAAGAAATGCAAAGGAATAAATACTGAAAGAAAAATTTCTCATTTAACTCCAAAGGTGTTAGTATTATTTATTTAATTCACTGGTTTAAAGATTTTGAGAGTATGTGTTACCTATCTTAGCAAAATAGATCATGGCTAACATACACAATCCATCAGACCTGACAGAAGTATCCAATTATGAATGAAGGCTTCCTGGGTTTCCGATTTCCTGCACAAGTCCTACCTTACATTTCCTTCTATGCCCCGACAAAAAATACAGCATACAATTAAACCTTTGGAGTTGATGGATATGAATTCAGTAAGGCACCCACTAATTACGTGACTTAACCATGGGGAAGTCAACTTACTTGCTCATTTTTAGTAAGCCTGGTTTTGTTGTGAATGTCTGACGTGACCAAATTGAACCCGTGCTTCTCTGACAAGATTCTCAGAAGCAAGACCACGGTGCGACTCCCACACTTGCCAACTCTGTTGTACACCACCTGGCTGGGGAAAGGAAGGACCTGGAAGGAGAACAAGAGACTTGGGTGAAAATGCAAGTCTTCCCACAATGTGACAACACAGAATGTTGGACGTGTAAATGAGAAGGGTCTCCATCAAGTGGAAGAAAGAGCAGAAGCAAGGAGCTACAGTGCAGATATAGCCCTCCTAATACCTTCAGAGATATAGCTGATCTCCCACACTCATTCAGACTTGATACTGATCACGTTTCACGACATCTATAAAGACTCATCATGAACTGGCCTTGAAAGCACAACATGGCGGTACATGATTCAGTATTTTTTTTTTTTTTGCAAGCATGCTTTATCAGACCAGTTTAATCAAGGGAAACATAGTGACATTAAAGACTGATGTCTGGGTGGATGTGGCACAAGCCTTGAATCCCAGCACCTGGGAGGCAGAAGCAGGTGATCTCGGTGCGTTCCAGGCCAGCCACTCTGTTGGTCTAACAGAGTGAGTTCCAGGACAGCTAGAGCTACAGAGTGAGACCTTGTTTCAGGAAACCATAGCAAAAATGCTGTGGCACTCATATATCATAAAATCAAACTTATAAACAAAACAATTTAAGGAATTTTTTTTTAGTAGATCCCCCATTATAAAAGCATCCCTACCACCAAGTCCCAGGAAAGTGTTATGACTAGCTGAAGTCCCTCGTACCTGTTAGCAATCATTTCAATTTCCCACACTATGCCAAACTCCTGGAACCATTGACATACTTTCTGTCTCATGGTAATACTCAGAGGGTTCTAGAGAAATCATGTAAATGAGATGAAACACGTGTGTTTATGTCTGACTTTTACTTAGTAGAACACATCCTGGTGTCAGCAGTGCCATAGAAAGGCTCAATCATCTTACAGGGCTGGGTGCTACAGCATTGGATGAACAAACTGGACTCTTCTTACATATCAGTTGGCAGACACATGGGTCATGTTTCATAGCAACACTGCTATGGGGATGTGTGTACCTGATTTTGTGTGGGGAAGTATTTCAAATCCTCTTATATGCATGCCTACAAGTGGAGCTGCTGGACCTACAGCAACTTAATGTCTAATGTTTTGTGCAACTGCCAAACTGTTTTCAATACAGCTGCACTGCTTTATATTCCCATCAGCAAAGTACAAGCATTCCAGTTTCCCCACATCCTTGCCAATCTTTGTAACTGCCTGTTTTGTGTTTTTATTTTTTATTACGAACATCCCAGTGGTGTGAAGTGATATCTCGTTGTGGTTTTAAGTTATATTTCCCCAGTGACCAATAAGGTTGACCGTGTGTGTGTGTGTGTGTGTGTGTGTGTGTGTGTGTGTGTTGGCCACTTTCTATTCCCTTTGTAGAAAGGTATAAAGTTTTTACATTGTCAAATTGACTGCCTTTTAATTGATCCATTTATAGAGTGTTGCATTCATATTATCTCTTTATTCATAGAGAAATGAACTGCATTTTTTCTCATCCTCTGGATTGTCTTTTCACTTTAATGACAGGTTCCTCAGAAGTCTAAAAGTTTAAGTTTTGGGTGAATCCAACTTTATTTTGGCTACTTGTGCTCTGAGACCTGTCTAAGACAACCCTGTAAGATACAGAGCTGTTTTCTTCTCAGGGTTTTACACGTCAGCCCTAACAATTTAGATCTTTGATCCACTGTGAGTCCATTCTTTGTATCACATTAGTCCAGGCCTAGTAATATACACTTTCAGGCAGCTATCAAGTTGTCCTAGCAACATTTAGTGACTGGCTATCTCTTTTTTTTCTATCAGCTTTACCAAAAATCTACTGTGCTGTTAATCTGTGTTCATCCGGGGCATGACCTAACAGTTGTCATCAGGACAACTTTTGATAAAGTTTTGAAATCACAAAGGGTGAGTTCCTTCAGCTTTGTTCCTTGATTGTTCAAGAACAGATTTTGGTCATTGTGGGTCCCTTAAATCCCCAAAGGGAATGTCCAAAGTAATTTTATAATCACCTTTCTGCCAAAACAAACAAACAAACAAATAAACAAAACCAAAACATACCCCAGGTAACTCCAGTTTTAATAGCAATTCCATTTAATGCACAGAACAGCTGGGGGATGATTGCTATCCTAACGATATTGTCTTCCATTCATGAACACACATTGCTTTTCTACTGATTTCATTCTTTAATTTGTTTCACGGATATAATGTTCAGTGGAAAACCTTTATAGTCTCAATTTATTCTTTTTGATGTTTCATGGGTGGAATTATTTCCTTAATTTTATTTTTGGATGGTCCATTACCAGGAATACAGCTAATCTCTGCATATTGATCTTGAATCCTGTGTCATCTTGCTAATTCATTAATGGCTCTATTGATTTCTTCCATCTTTACTTGGGAAATTCTGCATATAAGATGATGACGTTTTCAGAGATAACTTCATCTTTTCCAACAAGACTTTCTCTGTTGTCTCTCTCTTTCCTAATGACCCAGCGATGATGACCTTGTTTGACTCCAGAAGCATTGTAAAAAGCACCTATGATTAAATATTTATACCCCAACCTATGATTAAATATTTATTTCCATCTTGAATGACCAGCATTGTGCACTAATTGATGAACCATAATCAAAAGTTTCATTCAGAATCTTTCCGTAACAGAAGATTGTAAGAAAACCCAAAGGAAAATAACACAGCACAGCACAAAAGTCACAGACAAACATACTTAAAAGTCACCTCTGAACCTACAGAGTAAATTATTGAATTGAAATAGATTACAGATATGAACATAGAAACAGCCATAATATCTCCATCATTCACTTAGGGACCAGTCACATGCTATTATGACACAATTCTTCCCATTCCTATTAATCTCTTATATTCTCATTGTTAGGGCCAGTCTTCTGGCCTTCTGTGATATGTCCTCACACTGCCTAAAGTGCGTCTTGTATATGCAAAGAGCTTCGGCAGATGTTGACCATGTCTTGGCCACTCTATTGAATTTAATGTGGTATCTAATGCTTATAGAGTGATTCTGCTAAAACTTGAAATCAAGAAAAATCTTCAAATACCAATAATCTTCCTAAGAAAATACTAACAAAAGTTACCAGGGTAAAAAAGATGGTCACAATAATAGGTCTTTACTTAGAATATTATTGGTGAGAACCCTTCCCCAAAGTCTGTCCTCTGGTAACGATGGCAACCTAGATATTTAGAGAGATCATTCATGTTTGCAGGTATGAGTATGAGTCAAGGAGCATGGCCTAGGATGTCAAGTTTAGGATGAAAATGTCAATATAGAATCGGTTACTTGGTCCTCCAGTATGACCAGGTTAGGCACTGACTGCTGCCCTGACAGCTGCCCATATAAACATGTGGTTCAATTTCTCTGTAGAAAATAATTGTTTGAGGCTGGTGAGATGGCTCAGCAGACCAAGGCAGTTGCTTCTAATCCTGAAAACTTGAGTGTAAGCCCAGTGACACACACGGTGGAAGGAAAGAAGGACCAACTCCTGAAAATTGTCCTCTGACTTCCACACAGATGACATGGGTACCTTTTCCCACACACATAATAAATAACTGTAAAAGATAAAAGGAAAGAAATTACTTGAAAATTAGTCTTTCCCTATAGAGCCCATCTTGTAACACAATAGCAATCACTGAAGACAATTGTTACATCTGCATCTGTAACATAGAAGCTAGGAGTTTAGATGCAAATAAGTAACCTATGCCAGCACTGCCAATATGTCTAGGCAGGGCTAAAGGTAGAAGTGGGGCACTTAGGTGAAAGTATTCTTTCTCCTGAATTGCTTGGAGACCTGATATGGAACCACACTGACTACCCTACTGCTTCCTTTTGATAATAATTACTTTTAACTTAGTGATGAGTTAGTCTTTAAAACTGTTAACACAACTCTTTCATTAGTGTTGTGGGAAGTCTCAAATAATAGTCATTGTGATTGTTTGAAAGAAAATGACTACCAAAGGGAGTGACACTATTGGGAGGTGTGGCTTGTTGGAGTAGGTGTGGTCTTATTGGAGGAAGTGTGTCACTGTGGAGGCAGGCTTTGAGGCCTCAAACATGCTCAAGCCACATTCAGTGAATCAGTTCACTTCCTGTTGCCTGCACAAGATGTAGAACATTTAGCTATCTCTCTAGCACCATGTCTGCCTGCAGGCCACCATGTCCCACCATGTTGATAATGGAATGAACCTCTGAACTGTAAGCCAACCAATTAAATGTTTTCTTTTATAAGAGTTGCTGTGATCATGGTGTCTCTTTGCAGCAATAGAAACCCTAAGACAGTCATAAATATTTCTGATTATAAGAGATGCTTACATAAGAACAAAAACACCTGCACCATAACTGAATCTATATCTACAACAATTGGGGGAAAAAGGTGTCTTGGGACACTGTCCTTCATGCATAACTTGATAACTGTCCTCTGGAACTATCTCTGAACAAGGTTAGGCCTGTTAACTTTGCATCACGGAGAAGGGGCTCATGTGGCTCCATGGCCACCCCTCATCACAGTTCAAGATTATTAGGAGAGAGGTTTCCCTTGCCCTCCCCGAGATTATATGCAGTTATGGGCTACTAGGGAAAAGGTCTCAGGAGGTCCTGTCTCTTCCTGTAGAAGTTTTAGGCAGTTAACATTTGCTGGGGGATTGAGAGGCATCACAAGGCCATAACTTCCCCCTGAGGATGTGTAGACAGCTAACCTTTGCCTGGGGGATTTTTTCCCTAAGTGGTGTAGTTGCCTTTAAGATGCCTAAGATCCTGTAATTAATCTCAGTTGAACTCATTGTTTCACCAAGCTAGACTCCAGTGAAATCCTTTCTGTGGTCTGTCACTGGTATCCCATCAGGGATTTGTCTCCCTTCTCTAGGAAAAGTTCTCCAAACAAAGGGAAAACACAACATTCTCACTGTGACTATTTCCACCTAACACTGATAATGGAGTAATATAATGGGAATTGGGGAACGCATCATCCCATAGGCTTCTCAAATCACATTATGACCTTCAAAGACACACTATGATAACACCACCACACACAAA